ATTTTCTGGCATTGCCTAAAATCATTTGTCGCTTCAGCAATTTTACTAATTGTTTTCCTCAAATGTCAATTTTGCTTTATAAATAATGCTTTTTCAAGAAATTTCAGGAAACATTGCACTTCCCATAAAAAACGTTAACAATAATTGGTACCCCAATAATTGGTAATGTCATTACAGTTATTGTAATTTTCGAGACATAATAAAATAAATCTATTTCGTACTTAGAAAAGTATCTGATAATTCAGCACCCTCAATTCCTTGGCATTTAGAAGCCGCCATCATTAACTTTATAATTATCTGCCTCGAATGTATGTATGCTCGCACAAACTGTATTCATTTGTCTATTTATTATCTAGAAGAATCAAACTTATTTGTTAGTTACCTGGCTTCAGATTTAAAGTTGGTACAGCATTCCATGTTAAATTCGTGCATCTACTATCAAATACTGAATACTAAGCTTTAAGATGAGCTGCACATTTTCACTTGTTTTCACCACTATCTGGAGGACCCGGTAGAAAGTCAAAATTTTAACAGCTTTTAACAAAGTTTGTCAGGAAATGTGAAAAATGCAGCCATATTGGGTTTACAAACGGGCACTGAACACTTCTTCCTCTGGGCGTTAAGGTTCAGACATAAAATCCGCCATGACCGTATTCTGAAAACGTCTCTAAGCAGCATCTCATCATATAGTCAAATGGTAATGCAGTTTTAGAGAAGAATTTTAGAATTGTTTAACAAAACGATAATGTAAACACTCGAAGTATCTCGGAAATTCGCAAACTGAAGAAGAAGTACAGTGTTGTCGCCTCACCCAATGACAAATTACTCAAATAAATTTCTTAACCGAATATCAATTTTACAACTACTATTAAATGAAAAAATACACAACAATAATCCGGGTATCGAAATCTCGAAAAAATTTCGCGATATAAGAAAACCCCATTCACTGATTTTCTTTCAAATTTTGTTTATACCGGTTGGCCTCTCTAATCATTTTCTAATAATCTCGTAAGTTGACCTAGAACCGGCTAGGTTGCATTATGGGTGCGCCACATATCTACCAAATAGCAAACTAACCGCAAACTGCTGGAAATTTCTGCAAAAAAAAATTTCTGTGGAGCGACATCTACAATAGCGAGGTTCGAAATAGCATGTAAGTCCCGCCCTATTTTGTTTCCATTCTAAGGGGGGATATTTTGTGTTGGAAACTGCCATACACGCCTGCAGAATGCTATTTGTCGCTTAAATCACCGGCTGCAATCAAAACCAAACTCTAATTTCCACCACTGGCAGAAGAAATATTCTTTATCGATTGGGTTCACATGAAAATTTAGTGGGGTATTTCATTTCAGTTTATGACCTCTATGATTTCCGTTAAAGTTTCAAAAACATTTCAAGCATTTCATCATGCTCCTTAATGGTGATGTTTATGCTATGATACTCGAAATATTATTTAAACTTCAACGCAAATCACAGAGTTCGTAAAGTGAATTCAAATCGCCTGCTAAAATTGTGTTTGTGTGAAAACTAGGGCAAATCGGGAAAATAAAGCACATGAATTTATCTTTACAATAGGTATTTATTAAACTAAAAAACCTAGAGATGTAATTTATATTGAGATTACATGAGTTAGATCGTGTAGTGCTTCAACAAAACTTGAAATAAGTTTTATTCACATTAAATAATAAATATGTTGAACAAATATGCAGAAGTGTTGATATAAGTATCCAATTATTACCTGCTATTTACGTTCAGTTGGTACCTGATGGTTGTTTTTGTCTTCATTTTTTGGTTATCGATGAAGTTTAGGAAATGCTCTCTTACAGAGCTGGAATTCTGGCGCGCTGGGTTCTGTGGGGCTCCAGCCAAGCTGTTTACTCACTAAAACTCCTTCCGTCTTAG